TATCTTACACTCTTCTACTCAAAATCTATCAACTACATTGATGACAAAGTAGTCAATTCTTGTAAAGACCGCGTGTGGGGCTGAATAGAAGGTATAATCCTTCTCAAGCGGATGTAATTCCCTTTACATGTCCATAATTCCCAATTCCGTCATTACCATATTTATATATCGAGCCAAATGTTTTTTACTGATCTTTTTTGTGCTAGTTGTGTCCATAGTCTGATTAAGTGTAGTGTTAAGATCGCCTCCACATATCAATATCCCTTCTGTTTCCTGGGTGATAAGTTAAAATAAGTTCTTGAAAAGGGCTTTATCACATTCCGGAGGTGCATAGACATTGACAAGTGTGACCAGTTGATCTTCAATTCTCCCCTTTATTAAAATATATCTGCCTTCTTTGTCTTTTTTACATTTTAGTCTTTCAAATTTTGTTGTGTTTGAGATTAGGATTGCAACACCTCTCTTACGTCCCTTTTTGTATGTACTACAATATGTGTTTTTAAAGCCCAACTTTTTAAATTTTTCATGCTCTTGATTTGAAAGATGTGTTTCCCGTAGATAATTCACCTGTGATTTTTCCTTTTTTATCTTTGCAATGACTTTTCCCCCTTTTCATTGGATTGGTTAACCCATTTACATTCAGAGACACCACCTTGAGTTGGTTATGTTGCATTTTGTACATTCTTAAAGTCCTCATCATCTCTCCTGTTGACACTTAACACACAAAAAAATTATGACCACTAACATAATTGTGGGCTATTCTCCTTAAGCCCGTGTCCCTGCTGGAAGGTGAGGGGAAAATCCTCTGGAAAAAGTAGTGTCCCTTACTAGAGGTAGGTGAAAGTATCCCTTGCCTTCTAGTACAGTCCAACATAGTCCTACGCTAGACTATTTATATAATAAAATCAAAGTAGCCAGTAGCGATGTTGGGAGGAGGGCCATAGCCAAAACTCAAGGTTAAGAACTTGTAATACAAACATAATCAGAACATTATATCACAACTCTACCTCCCGTGTTTCAGTTGTTTTCTGTATCCTTGGGTCTCTGAAACTCCAGCAATTTTCCTCTGATGCGCTGTGATAGCACTCCATGTGGACCTGGTTTTCCGCTGCTTCGCCACTGTCATGCTCCCCGTATTCGGTCCTCAATTGTGTTTTCTTCCTCGGTCTCCTTCTTCCTAACCTCCAAGCACCTTTTCTTCAACTGTTTTGCTGCGTCCTGCGCGCTGTCGTTGGTCTCCTTCAGTCCAATGTAATCAGATACGTGTTCACGGCGTCTGAAACCTGATGCCTTTAGCTTTCAATCTTTTTAATTTCGGCGTAAGCTTTGCGCTTTACCACCTCCGTCGGGTAGTCGTGGTCAAAGAATAGGGTTGCTTTGATTAGTTTAAACCCGGATCGCGGCGTCTCACCGGGTCCGGGTCACCTTGCAGCCGCTCGGTGTGCCTGTTGTATCAATAGTAGTGATGCGTCGTTCGCGAGTGATTCGTTCAAAATGAACTAATCTTCGTAGTCGTATGAAAGATTTGTTCATATTTAACTCACGAATCACTCACAGCGAACGAATCACTCTGCGAACAAATCACTCTCTGCGAACTAATCTTTCACTGTGAACTAATCTATCATTGCAAACGAATC